GCCTGCCTGCCTGCCTGCCTGCCATCCTTCCTTCCTTCCTTCCTTCCTTCCTTCCTTCCTTCCTTCCTTCCTTCCTTCCTTCCTTCCTTCCTTCCTTCCTTCCTTCCTTTGCATATACCTGCCCATCTCACAAACAGGACTCTGAGCGGCACATAAAAAAAACTGAATGTAAAGAAGGTGGGATATTTTTTAAAAAAAAGCAAACATTACAAAAGTACCATAACGAAAGCAACCCTATTAATAAACAGACTAGGAAAGAGTATCTTCAATGTTACAAGCAATGTAAGCCATGTCAGTAAATTTCATTTCCCTCAGATTCTCAAGCCTTTTGACATAGCCACATCTTTGTAGCAGAGATTGAACTCATCATCTTTGCCATCAGGTATTTCCTTAAATTCTTATTATCACCAGCCTAACTCATATGCTACTCTTGCTTCAGATTTTCTTTTGAAAAAAGAGCCGAGTAATGCAAATAGGGACCTTCAAAACGGACTCCGAAATTGTATTTTTAATTGTCGGTACATTTTTAGCAACCAGATGTGTTAATAGATTCCTTAGCAGGAAAGGCATTATATTCTGAACTTTGTCATGTTTGAGTGTGTATGTGTGTGTGTGTGTCTACAGTAAGAGATATTTGGCTGACATGTAAAGTGAGGTTGGCTGCAGGTAGAAATAACTGATCTGGAAAGAGATGGCTTAAAGAACAGCATATTTGTCTGTAAATTCACAGATTAAACTCACATGTGTCCGTTCCCATTCTTCATTTTCTGGCACTCGGGAGTGTTTCCCTGTATAATGACAGTCTCCCAACTCAACGGCCCCTTTCTTGGCTCGGAGGCAGAGCTGCTTGCCAATGTTGTGTCGCAGATCTCGCTGGGATGTATATTCAAAATACTAAAAGCAAAACAGGGATAAGAAGCTTTCACTATTAGAAACAAGGCCAAAAATATTAGTATTTTTTCTAAAGGAGATTTTAATACCGTACTTCAGTACACCAACTTTATTCATTACATTTTCTGTCTTCACAAATCATCTCATCTCCATATATTTCTTATGTTGCTTTTCATTCTTTGTAGTAGCTACTGAGATCTTATAGATGGCGCTAGATGCTAGCAGCAAACTGCAGTGTCTGATGCCTATATGGGCCTCTTTTGCTACTTGCATGATCTCTTTACTTATCTTGGTGAAGGTGGAAAGTCCCCGACTTATAGATGATCTCATTTTACTAACATCACCACTATTCTTAAGGATTGGTTGGGGGTTTGTACCAATGGGGATGGGAGGTCTCACCCATGTGGGATCTATTCTCCAATCCAAATGCTGTATCTATGCTACTGTTCCTTGCTTGTAAAAATGGTATAACAGAATAAACGCTGTCCAGGCAGTCAGACATCTTGGTACCCTGCACAATAACTGGTCTTTGAAACCCATCAATTCTTTAGACTCCACCCCGCTGTCCATCTCCCTCTCCCTCTCTCTCTCTCATAAACTCCATCCAATTACCACTTTTTCAGCTCTCTATTTTTTTTCAACTCATTTGCTTTTCCTTCAGATAGCTACTTATTCCTTGCCTATATATGACCAAGCTTCCCCACATACTTCTTTTATACAAGTAGTTCTTGAGTCACAGCACTTAATTTAGTGACTCTTCAAAGTTACAATAGAACTTAAAAACTTATGATCGCTGCATCATCCCCCATAGTCATGTGACCAAAATTCAGACACTTGGCAATTGACTCATATTTAAGATGTTTGCAGTCTCCCAGGGTCATGTCATCACCTTTTGTGACTTTCTGACAAGCAAAGTCAACAGGGAAGCCAGTTTCACTTAACAACTATGTTACTAACTTAACAACTGCAGTGATTCATTTAACAACTGGGAAAAGAAAAGTCATAAATTAGGGTAAAATTCACTTAACAACTGTCTCACTTAGCAACAGAAATGTTAGGATCAATTGTGGTCATAAGTCGAGCAGTGCCTGAACTGATTACTTCCTATTGTGTTCAGGCCACATTCATCCATCTTTGAGCTGAACTCTTGTTGGACAAACAAGCTTCTTAAATAACCCTTTCAGCTTACTTTTATGTCTTTCTGACATTTCAAATTCCCACTAATAAAAAAAATGGACAGAAACTTAATCTTATAAACAAGAGCAAGGTTGTTGTTGAGTTCTTATCCCAACACTTAGAGGCTGGGCAGGGCTGGGTGGAATGGAACTGATTCCAAATCAATCCTACCAAGACTGAATGGTTGTGGATATTAGGGTCTCATGGACCCAGGGAATTTCATTTAAACTCTTGGATAAGACTTTTCCATTCAGGAATGGTGCACTATCTGAGCTTCTCTTGAACTAAGCTTCTTTTTAAAGAGTAAGGGGCAAGTGGCAGCTTTGACCATTCTTTGCACAGCTCCATGTGTTGCACCAGCTGGAAGGCCCTTTGGTCAATCACTCATGCCCTGATACCCAGCCTTGACTACCGTGAGCTGGACTTCCCACTCCTGATCAACACTGATTGGGACAAGTCTTGGAGGAAGGAGATGAACCAGCACAAAACTGTGCCCCCCTCCATCCTCAGTTCCCAAAACTGATCCAAATGGAAACCATGATCAATGATATCAAAGACTGCCCAGAAGTTAAAAAGAATCAGGTCCCAAAGGTGTTTTTTCAGGAGGCAACTGGACTTTCTTGTTATTCTTTAAAGACGTTTTGCTTCTCATCTAAGAAGCTTCATTTAGTATTTGCACAATAATGGAAAAGCGAAGAGATCCTGACAGATGAGAGTATAATTAAAAAAATATTAGAATGTGCAGAAATGGACAGATTAACACTCACAATTAAGGAAAAAGAAGGAACTGAGTATTTCTCCCCCCCTCAATTTGTATTTGTTTTAAAATATTTATTTTAAAATATCATTATTATAGAATTAATATCATTGTGATGAGCATTATTGCAAACATTTTGATTATGATTTCCTAAAAATAATTGTACCCAAACAAGACACTATTTGATTGAAATTGAATTTTTACATGTTATATAAATAAAACAAAAATTTTGAAAAAAAGAAAAAAAAAGTCCAGTTGCCTCTTGAAAAATCACCTTTGGGACAACCATGACCTGGATGACTGAGAATCTCCCTAAGCAGGATACCCATCCCGCTCTGCCAGAAATCATCCAAAAGTGTGACCAATGCAATTTCTACCCTATATCTGGGTCTGAATTCTGACTGGAAGGGATCCAGATAATACATCTTATCCAGAATTCTCTGGACCTGCAACCACTTCCTTAGAATGAGGAGATGGGAGACTACGAAAATCAATCAGAACGGTTGGATAAATATTGGAGTTATTGTACTTTGAATATTAAGATCTTTATTTTTTAAATAATGTATGCTTGTAGAAAAAATGTTTTTGACATTGTGGACATAATAAGACAAGAAATTTATAATGGCGTTTAAGTACACATCTTTAAGGAAGCACACAGGAACCTGCCTCATGAATTTGATTCAATCATGTCATCTGTTGTGCCTTCTTGGGAATGCTTTGTTCCTAAATAGAGATGTTACAGAATAAAATATGCAGCAAAATTTAAGGAAAATATGAAACACTGAATAAAATTTGTCATCAGATATAAAGTAAAAACTAGATGAGGATTTAAAAATGAAGGATATGAAAATGATAATTCCAGAGAACAGTTGGACTAATGTCCTTTTGTTGGATTTATAAAGCAGTTAAAGAAGTAAAGAAATTTATAACATGGATCAAAAACCATCTGAATGGCTTACACAGAAAGGCTGCCCTGTATAAAAGAAAAAGGATTACCCTAATTGATTTATTCAACTAGGGATAAAATGGGATATGTTTTTATTTTGGGTGGCTCTTTCTGGATTTACTGATAATTTAATTGGAAAAGCATGTTATGCTGGATTTAGTTACATTTATTATGATGTAAAAGTTTTTTCCCCAGTTACTTTACAAAATACTAACTTTATACTACATAAACTGGCCTTGCATTTAACTGCTTTTTTAAAATTTAAACTAAGAAAGTTTGAAGAACTTGTCTTTTTAAAAGAGAAATTATTCCTCACTGGTACATTATATTTTAGTTTTTTTTGTTTATATTAGGATAAAGGGATTACTTTTTATTTTGAAATGTGGGTGTGTTTATAATTTAAAGTGGAGATATCTCATGTATATTTGAACAGGACAAGTTGATAAATTGTGTATGGGAGCTTGTCTTTTTATAAAGGAGAAATGGTTTCTTTTTGTCATGTTAAATTTGGGTTTTTAAATTTTGTTTACATTATGATATTGGGACCATTTTATACCCTTTAAATGGGATGTTATGATTGAGATATAGAATGTGGAGTTTAAAATATATTAATGTTAAAATCCCAGAGATTTGTTTAGATCTTTTACTGGCAATTGTTTGAAAAAGACTGATTTGCCTATTAGAGACGGGTTATTATGGGATGAAGAATTGTATATTTGTTAGCTAAAAGGAGGTGAAGAGATCATGGAATTGTTTATACTTGCCATGATGATGGTGGGAACTCACTTTCTTGGGGGCAGGAGGGTTTTTTCATACTTTCTTTTCTCTCTGTGTCCATCTCTCTTTCTCTCTCTTTTATTATTCTCTCTCTCTCTCTCTCTCTCTCTCTCTCTATCTATCTATCTATCTATCTATCTATCTATCTATCTACATATATACACATACCCTGTTTCTCCAACAATACGGCCTCCCCCAATAGGAAGTCCCAGCATGTTTTATAGGCATGAAATGAAATTAAGCCCCTCCCCCCAAATTAAGGCCTATATTAAAACATGCGAAATGGGGGGGGAATGGTGGGGGGGCTTGCCGTTAGGAAGTACTTTTGTTGCACACCCGGATATGGTGCTGCCTGCGTTGACCCCGATACGAAGTGCCCCACCAACGCCGAGGTCAACATCCAAGCCGTCACCGCCCGCCCGAAGATGCAAGGGGGAGGAATTAAGTCACCCCCGAAAAGATGGCCTAGCCATTTTTTCGGGGCTCAAAATAAAATAAGACCCAGCCTTATTATATGAGAAACACGGTACATACACACACACACACACACACACACACACACACACACACACACACACA